ATGGTTTAATTAGTTCATTATTATGCCTATTCTTACATGGTAATTTCTTTTATCATTCTAATCATTCACTTCACACTTTTTAAACCAAATGGAATATCAAAGGTTCTGTGGGATTATTTTTGGATCCTGCACATGTTTCACCACACAATTAATCTGTTTGTCAGAAATACTAGTTAACTTCTTCTCTTTACTACTTTCCTCTACTAGTGATTTTTGCCTATTATATAAGACGATACTACCCCTGCCCTGTAAAAGGACAGACTTTTGGTGCTTTCGACCCAGTTTATTGACGATTTTTCGACTCTGCACTAGGCATTACAATACAATATTCTAATTTTTATAAAGTTTTATAATTGAATATTTTCCTTTATGTATATTTTATCTGCAGTATTTATTTAGTCTTTTTACATGTCTTTACTTAGTTAAAACGCAGAGAGATAAATACGGTCATTCCTTCGCAGGGAAGATTCAGTACATTAATATAAACTGTACACTAATTCCCCCAAAGCATATATATATGTTGTAAACCTGAAGACTTTTTACACAGCTGCTTATTGCTAAACAGTGCCTTGTCCAGAAGGGGACAATCTGTGTCTCTAATTGCTGTCACTGAAGCTGAGATTCATTATGTGACTTTCCCATTAAAATGTGAGCATTAATTTGTATAATGAAATATCACCCACTGCAGTGTTCATTAGCCATGCCCTACTGTATACTGCACATTGTTAGCTACCTAGAAACTGTAGTTAATTTCACTAATGGATATTTCCCTACTTAGTGTTTGGTAGGAAATTTATACTGTAACATTACCTCTTAAACTTTTAAGGAAATTTAAATTCAATCAATTATTTTCAACAAAAGTTTGGGATGTCATTAAGGCAGGAGAAAAGGCATGCTGTACAATGTTAAGGATGGGAAATCTGGAGAAATCTAGAGAAATGAAAAGTCCTTTTAGTTCATCTTAGAAATGTAAGAATAAAGGATGTTCAATACCAAAATTGTCTCCTCTTGGAGCACACATACCCATTTTCCTTAATTATTCATATTGCTCATCCCACTACAAGCGCCTTCAGAGAATGGCAACAGGCAGTCTTTTTTTAGGGAGAAAATGTGAATTGAATTCATTTAAAACAGCACCATTTTTACTGTATTTCATCAGTTCATCTAAGCAAGTTTTAAAATTGGCTACTCACGTTTCCAAGGGAAAATGCAGTAAAACTGCATGTATAGAATACATCTACCACTGCTGTGTGTCACACGTATCGCAACGTACTCTCAGCCAATGGACACAGCCCCACCAACTTTTATCTTCCTATCCCTCTCTCAGCTTTCTTCTGTTTAGCACAACCCAAGGCTTCTGCGGAGCTCCTGCACGTTACTCTTTTTCCATTCCTCAAGGGATGTGACTGTGCCGGTCACACTGGGAATGTACCTGAGCAGCCGATGACCACACAAACCCCAACTGCTCTACACCTGCAGTAGCTCTGCATGCCAACGCAAGGCGCGAAGGGGTGGAGAGCTGGTCTGAGCCTGGCCCCTACGTAATGGGGAGTTACCCAAAGGTAGAACGTAAGAAGTTTTTACACGTAACTCTTGCTGTGCAGTCCAAAGGCCTGGGCAGGTAAAGTGAAAACCAAACCCGTTTATTTGATTTCAGCGGGAACTGAGAGTGCTCAAGAACATAAAGCTCCTTGAATGAAGGAACCTTGAACTGCTGCCTACCAGAGGGGAAAACGGAAACGCTGGAAGCATCTGCACACGGCATATTATTGGTCTGAGATACTTAGACTGTTTTTTCCACAAACTCTGAGCATCTTTAAGCCCCCCATGTTATAACCTTCTCAGCTGTATGATACATGATTTTCTAACCATGACGCTGAACCACGAAGCGGTTACTCTGCATTACTGGTGCGCATACATGCTTTGCCCTTGTGTCTGCATCTCTCAGTAGGCAGCTTTGAAGAAGCAGGACCGTAGGGCCCGTCTCTGTTCAGCGGTCAACATAAAGACGCCGTCTGGGAGGGCTACGAGAGCCCTGCCTGTCCCCTGTAAGCCCCGAGGCGGTCTAGCATTGTGACCTGGGAGCCCTCCCTGTCTTCTCTCAGGGTCATAGCAACGAATTGTCTTATCCTTCAGCTGTTTTTAGAGCAAGAAAGAGAAGAAACTGATTTCACATAATTATGCCCTTTTCTTCTTATCATATGGGAACAATCAGAAATCATATCTTACTATCTTCCCCTTAAAGCTCTTCCTGGCTGAACAACATTGAATTAGATAAGGAGAAAAATCCTCTACAGTTGTGTGTCAGGACCCAACCGAGTGTGCTAAATAAAACCTTGATTATTATTTTTTCCTCCAGAAATCTTATTATATGACAGCAAACTACACAGAAACTGAGACTCGGTGCGGAGGAGGTTGCAACCATGAAGTATCCATGGTAAAACAGAAGCAACCCAGGCCACTAGCTAATTCTCCTAAACCAGAGCACAGCTTCCTCCTCTTGTGGAGGATTAAACGGCTTCTCTAGCTTTTTTGGGCCAACTGCCACAGGAGCACCTCCTGGCTGGATCAGACTTTGGGTCTTGTCTTGGCATGCACAGCAAACCAACCTACTCGCGTGCCTCCAAACACACAGATGTTCGAAGGAACCTGACTTCTGCTGAACTGCTTGAGCTCATCTCTAACAAACAGGTGCTGTGAGAACAAGAACAGTAATTGAGTTAATGTAGTGGAGAAACACAGTAAAGTGTTTTTTATCAGTCAGTTATATGATCCAGGCATATAATAAAGACAGAGTGTGACATAAAAGGCAGGAAACCGTCCTTGATAACTATAAGCTAACCAATATTTGTTTAATAACTGGTATCTATTACATCATTTCCATTTACTGCAAAGCAGCTTATTTTTTAATAACTCTAGTAATTTGCCAATTTACATTTTTATAATATATATTAGGATTATTTGCAATATGTAAAACTTTGCTCCATTTAAATAAATTCTTGTCATTATTTACAAATTAATTAAAATGATTTACAAATAAAGTTCTCAATCTAATGGAAATTAATCTTTATTTTAAATTTATAATGATTTTAAAATATGTTGCATATGTTCTTTCAACAGTCTGCATGGTGTTTTCTTTTGCTTTTTTTGTTATTTTATACATGCTTTATTTTTTCTTGTTTTAGTTTTGTTTAGTCAGTTTTAATATGCAAGTTTTGTGGAATATTTCCATTGTAATTAATTTACTTTCTATTAGTTCTAAGCCACAAATACCAAATGCATAATCATTGCCATCTTTAAAATGAGAACAAAATGACCACTATAGAAGAAAGCAAAAGGGAGAGATGGGTAGCCTCAGGTTATTTAAAAGAATTTTTCTTTGCATCTCCGTTAGTAAAAACATCAAACTGTTTAAATCTCACAGTTACATGACTATTTTCCAATAAATAGCCACTTCCTTACTTTTAGTACATTAGAGAGCACACAAACAGGGTTTTTACGGTGTTTCTTCTTTTCTTTTTCTTTCTTTTTTTTTTTTTTTTTTTACAGACTCCAACAAACATAACCTTTGGGTTCAGATCTGTGCTGAGATTATTCCTGCTCTAAATGGCTTGCAATCCAATCAGACAAAACTAGATTAGGGTGCCAAATTTTAAAATCCAGATCAAACCAGTGTAGTATACTCCTACTCTACAATCCAAAGAAAGAAGAAAAATACAATGAACAACCTTCCTCATCTCAATAATTTTTTTTTCTTTAATTTCCATTCTTCATTTTTAACTTAGAATCAAGCCTCACATTTGCAAACCCAGCGTTAAGTATTACATCTGTGCAAGGAAATAGGAAAAACATGGATGCTGATTTTGGGAAGGGAGTAAAATGATGTTTCTCTGGTACCTCAGTGAAATAAAAATTAACAGTGAAGATTTTCAAGTCGGAGAAACACCTGGAAAGTATTTCTTCATGCAGTTTATTTTACCTATCAATTTGAAAAGCAGCAGTAAAATTCTGAAATTAATTTAAAATGGCTTAAAAATTAAGAATTAACAAATCCAAAATTAACAGTGCCCACTATGTCTGTTTACAAAAAGGAGTATCCTAAATCTCCAGTTTTGCACATTCTCCCAAAGCCTAATACAATATCTAAGACTCGGGAGAAAACATGATCTTATTGGCCACATTCAGAATTTGTAGTGATGTCAACAGGACCTAAAGATATCAGCACTGTTTGTCAGATTTTAATTATAGGTAGAGTTAAGTGTTCTTCAAACATACTGTGTCTCTGCATGTATCTTACCACGCATGTCTGTACTTTTAAGCAAACAAGGCATCATAATTTAAATGGAGTGGTTATAGTTTACTAGTATGGAGAGCAGTCCACCCAGCGAGTGACGTACCAAAATAAAGGGAGAATTCAGACCAGTAGTAAGTCTCTGTAGGGTAGAAATGCTGTGATTGTTATTAAAATAAAACATGATAGGTTTTACTACTTACAAGTACTACGTTGGGTGAGTTCTATCGAACAAACAAACAAAAAAGAGATTCATGAAGCTGATGTATTCATATGAAAAATAAGAGGTTAAAAATGAGCATGTTAAATGGAACAAAAATAGTAACTCAGAAAAACATCCAGAATCCCTAAGCAGATGCTAAGGAAGGCCTTTGAAGCAGTTAGTATAACTAAGCCTGAAACCAATAGGCTTATGCCTACTGAAGGACAAGGGTAATTGAAGGAAACAGTGATGAAGCAGGGAAGGAGACGGAAATAGCCTCAACTGGGAAAAGATGATTCTATTAAAGTGGTCTTTATCCAACAACACATTCCTTGTGCTTTTATTTAAGACTGTCATATATCTTTCTCAAAAGACTTTCTCCAACTAATGAGACCAAATCTACCCTGGGAATTACAGCTCCTAGCCACATAAGCTGCCAACCCAACCCACCCCAAACACACACACAGGGCATGTGTCGACGGTGCTCCGCTCACTGGTTCCTCTCACCTGTGTGTATTCTCAAGTGGACCTTTAAGTGATGTGACGTTCGGAAAGTCTTTCCACAATATGGGCAGTCTTTCATGGCAGAACCCAGGCTCCTGTCTCTCAGTAAAGCTGGCTGCTGGACTCCTACCGATCTCCCAGCTTCTTCTCCAATGTCTGCAACACAGAAATGTTCTCACATCACTTCAGCACATGTCAGAAGTTGTTCTCACTAAAACTGCTAACACAACACAAAGTTAAACACGTCAATACTACACCTGTCTACTTCATTCTTTAAATCTGACAGAATGCTGACAATTCATGTATTTTCTTGTTATTGTCTTAAATTATTTCATCTTTCCTATCATCATTTTAAGCAGCATATGGTACCTTTATATTGAACCGAATTATACAAGAAAAGAAACAGCTGTGTCAGCAGCTGGTTTGATTTCTTCTTTTGCTTAGTTCCTATTAATTTTTCCCCCAAAAGTTTTAGATTGTTGTTTCATTGAATCTATTAAATTTATAAGTATTTTGAAAATCTGTATTCTTTTAGAGAGAAAAAGTTTGCATCAGTATATCAAAACCTCCCAAAACGACAGAACTGGAGTGACGGGGGGACCAACAGCAATGGTGATGTCCACACACAAAGCTGATCAACTTCCTTCTGCAACGTTTCAGCGTTGGAGGTAGGACACACAACATAGTGAGTGACCTCGAATCACGGGAAAGTCAATGAAAAAATTGGGCAGACAAGGGGGAATTCCTTCTCCGTCTCATCTGCAGCTCCTGGGTTTTCTCCTTCAGAAAGGAGAAAAAACTGTATCGCATCCTAGTACAATAGGTGAGACGCCAGGACATGTGTCCTCTGTCCTGATAGAAAGAAACGGTCATTCCCAGCCATCCTGAATAAGCTGCTCTCATCCAAGAAGGCTACAAACCAAATAACTTGCAAAAGACTGACATAAAAATTGCAAAAATGTAGGGCATTTTTTAAAAGTCATTATTCAAACCAGACAAGGCTCGTCTATCTTGTTGTATTTACAGGGTCATGCAGGATCACAATTATGTATCAACTCACGATTTCACCACAAAGTACCATGGCAAATGTTGAAATTCTGAACCAGACTCAGGCTACTGGCAGAGCACAGAGAGCAATACACATGGACGCATCCTCACACCCCGATGTAAAAGCGGAGCTATCTGGGTTATATCGAGGTGGGGAGCACAGAGTTTAAATCTGCATGCATAGTCTTGATTATTTCAGCCATAAACTACTGACTAAAGATGTTCTGTCTTTACCCATTTGATACGCAACTAAAGCTGTCAGGAGACATAGTGCAGTTTACACAGCACTGCCTTTTAAATGGAAGTGATGGGACATAAGAAAGGCTTCAACATTTGACTCTAACGCAAACTATTCACACAGTAGTAGAGACCCAAATACCACATTTCTGGAAAAGGTAACACTAACAGGCATTTCATTATTTATTACAAAATGGTGCCTCTAAACTCTTTTGCTTAAAGCTGAATGAAGGGGATGAGAGAGTGATTTGAAAAAATGCTTATCTTAGTCACATATGTAATCAAGCTATTGCTAGTTTTGAAATGGCAAAATCTGATAGTTTTCACATCACATTCTTGTTTAACATTTTCTGATTGTTCTTAGGCTGCAGAGTTAAAACACAATATTTAAGTTTCGAAAGCTTGTAACTGTCATTTTGAATAATTCACAAATATGTAAAGTAACATACTGCAGGAGTTTATTTTCTCTTTAGGAGTCCAGGAAAACATATATAGGTGCTAGTCTATAATTCCAATCTCCCTAAGGAGTTTAGATTTTCCCCTTTTATTCTCCTCCAAAGTTGTATATAATCACATCTTAAGCTGCTTTGGGAAAAAATGAATTCCTGAGCGAAAAAATATTTTTCTGAAGTGCAAAATACAGACTGCATGATGATAAACTGCAGAATTTTATTTTGGTTTTCAATAAATAGTATATGAGCATTATAGATAAATATATAGATAAAGCTAACAAGCCACTCAGGAGGAATTTACCGAGTAAGTCTACTAGTTATGTTTTGCTATATGTCACTCTAAATGATGGCCTGTTATCCATTTCCCTTTTATCTTTCTATCTAGAATATGTGTGGCCCAATAAAAAAGAATAAATTTGTAAGATAAACAGCTCGCTTTGCAGATTTAAGAGTCTAATTTTCACTTTACAAAAAATTGAATTTTTTCAAGGCAGCGAGACGATGGAGTTTACTCTAGCACTAATCCCTCTGAAAAAGCAAACTGAAAACAACAATGAAGCAAAGAAAGATGTGGGTGGTCTGAAGAGTTTTCTTTTAGATTTAAGTAGACATACAGTAGATAGCTCCAAAGGCTTTGCTCCAACAGGGGCCTTACCTTGAAGAATTTTTCTTCCCACAGTGAAAGCATTCCTAAGACTTTAAAGCTGGGCTGAGGGGTTTTCTTTTGAATTCCTCTGCCTACAAAGCCCACCGAAGCGCTGGAGGCCATCGCTACCTGAATGAGCAGCTTTACATCGAAGTTCTTTCATTTCAAACAATGAAAAGATACGTTCAAGGCTGCCGACTGTCCCCCATCAAACGCTACCCCAACTTCCTGACTAGGGCCCCGGTTTTGGCAAATTGTACCTATTTGTTAGGGCACTTAAGTTTAAAATGCGCTTAACTTCAAGACGCATTTAAGTCTCACTGACTCTGCTACCGAGGTTTTTTTGTACTGAGTCTCTTAAACCAGCGTCTGGAAAGTGAAGGAGGAAGAAAAGGGCATGTGAAAAGGAAAAGAGATCAGCAAGGAAAAAGTGAAGAAGCAAACTGGTGAATACAGACCACGTCAACATCAGTGTTTGTGGGGCACGGAAAATCTACCAATAACCATACAACCGTATATTCTACACCTCTGATGTCCCCTTTCTCCTGCAATTAAGACCCCCTGCCCAAGTCCAGAACTCGCCGTTCTGTTAAATCGTGCAAATCTGTAGTAATGTTTTACAGACCTGCAGAACTCGGATTAGCCCCAGGAAATTAATTTAAGGTATGATTTACTCAGGATTTGAGCTATGGTTTTTGGGCTGCCCAATTCTGAGGATAAAAGATCAGGAAGGAAAGAGAAGAGTTACTTAGACCAGCCATTGTGGTTCACTGAGTTATGTGGTCTACATGATGCGCACCCGACGCAAGTGAGATTAGACTGCTTTTTTAGTCTCTACTTCCATTATAGGCAGGTCTACATCCTGAATGTCTTCCTGCCCATCCCTACCTTTCCTGATTCTAGTGCAGGAAATAACCGAACAGTGTATAAAATATTGTATAGTTGTCCATGCTAGAGGCACGGCTTCTGAGACTTGTCTCCGAACTGACTTTCCCCGAGCCTTCCATTCACTTTGAAAGCAACTGTTCACAGCAAAAGTCACAGGCAGAAGTGCAAAAAGCAACATTCAGTTCTGTGTATGAAACCAGCCTTTGTGTCAGTGTAAGGAGAAGGCGAGAGCTGTGAGCCCTCCAGCTGCTGTGGATGCTGTACCTGCCGGCAGGCAGATACAGCTCTGCGGTACGGGACACATCGGAATTCAGCCCCAAAGCAGCTCCTCGGGGGGTGTGACAGGGGCATCTCTTGGGTCCCATCCTTCAGCTACACTTAATAACTGATTCTGCGCATCTTCTCAGGGGACAAATGCAAGAAAGTTCACTTGAACATCCACATCAGAACGTGGCAATTAGCTGCATAACCAAAGAGCCAATTTGGCCAAAATGTGAGCAGATCTATTTGCCACACAGACTGAAACGAAAATAAAGTAATCCATAAGGTCAGCATTTGAAGGACTTCTTCAGGCAGATGTCCCTTTCTCACGAGAGGAGGGACAGAAAGCCTGCCCTCCTTGCCTAGCATGGACATGTCCCACATAGTGCTGCAGGCTGCTTTCACATCCCCTGGGTACCCAGAGAGGACATTTCCAGAGAGCTAGGCAATCCCAATAAACCGTTTTGAGCCACATTCTACAGCAGCAGGTTAAAAGAAAGTGGGAAACACACCAGCGAATTGTTTTTTACAGGAGGTAGCCTAACTAGGTATCAGAAATTATCTACCCAGAAATGAGCCACTGCCACAGCTGGCAGTGCCCTCATCACATGGATAGGGATGCTACAGTGGCACAGTGCCAGCTTCAGTGGGTATTCCTGGTAAAGAGAAGACAAACTTAACTGGATACTGAATCGGTGTGCTCACAGAAAAAAAGAATTATTGGAAATTTCTGTATATATTCTGTATGACTGGTCTAACGGTCCGGGATGAGTCTATCAATATGATTAGAAAAGGACTGATTGCTTCTCTAAAAAGAAACCTGTTTGCCATCAGTTAGGTAGCAGCAGCACTGGCTTCAGTCACATTAGCAGCCACATTTTCAAAGGAGCCATCTACATACATGTCCCATAAATTTTACAGGAGCATTTATGTGCTGCGTGCATGTGAAAGTACAGGGATTCACAAAGAAATACTTTCATGTTCAAAGGAGCTAAATTGCAGTCCTCATGCCGACTAAATTATCAGTGAAGTCAATTAGGATTTGTCGACACAAGGATTGCCAAATTATCCAAAAAACAGGCAATCACATGGAAAAGGTAATCAACTCTCGAAGTAGGTAATCACACTTACAAGTATGCGTTTGCTCTTGCACATTTTTCGGACGTTATTAAAGAACCCTTTGAAAGTACGGCCAGAAGCCTTTAAAAACTGCACATAATCCCAGGTTTTCACATATTTCTGAAATTCAAAATATCTGTAGTTCTTTAGCACTCTCTGTAAAAGTTAATGAAACAGGGTGCAACAACAAGTGGTAGTGACCGAAGTTGTTTTTTGATGATCTATAAATCACCCAGATTAGCCCATCTTGTGGCAGGAAAAATTATATCCTGAATCTAATGTCAAAAAGAGAGTTAGAAGATCCTCAGTTTGTTAATCCTGTCACGGCCGCCACCTTTATGCAGCTACGCCTGGACTCGACCACCTCGTTCCCTGGGAAGCAGTATAGGTTACACAAAGATTCTGGGAAAAGAGGGCTTACCTTTCTTGCCTATTCCTTAGAGAAAGCTTTCATAAGACTGAAAACAGTGGGAAATAGGAATATAATTAGGGATATAATTAACCCT